GCGAGTTTGGAGTCTTTGGTTCGCGGCTCTCAGTTCTTAGCGAGTCTAAGACCGAAACCATCGTACTTGGAGGATCACTTGCACTCCGAGCTACAAATGTGCTGCTCGGTACTCCAGCAATCCAAGAGCATCAAATCAGGGAGACGGCGGCACAACTACATCCGTTGGACGGGAGGCTTCGAAGAGACCTCCAACCCAAGGGCATGTCACGGGCGGAACGTGTTCACGCGCAGTCATCCGGTTGATCGATTTAAGGAGGACGTCACCGAATTTGGCCGCTGATTTAAGGTACAGGCCCTTTCGCAAGCTCGGGTCACTTTCATTTTTCATCCTAATCTCATCTTTCATCCTAACTAGAAATACCCGAATTCCATGCCTAGCTCCGGATAACCGGATAGATTAAGTCTTTTGTATCTCCAAAACATTTCGTCAACTTGTCAATAACCTCCATTTATTGAGTCCTCCTCAGCTCTTCATTCCTATAAGTTCCACCAGAGGATCTGGTCTAGCCGCTCGGACCATCTCGTCACAATAATATCTAATCGTTATGTGGAAGCACAAGGTAAGACCTCTTTAAACAAAACCCGAATATTTTCCCCGGCCTCGCAACCCCTCGGCCGCCACGTAGCATGGACCAATTTCCTTATCTTTTAATTTTTGTTACAAGGGGCTTAATCCGACGTAATCAGGAACTCACTATGTTGCTGGGTGAGTAGGCCCCGTGTTTTGGTCCAGAGTGTAGATCGATGCAGAAAACATGCGGTTGAGACAAAACATTCCTCGATGATTGCACAACTCGTTATTTTTCCGGTTTAATCAGATAACCCTATCGTTGCTTTGAAATCAATATTTATCTTCCGATAACTGACTCGTACTTAATGTAATGAGTGTCTCTTTGTTCTGAGGAAGTAAGGTAAGCCTCGTCACAATAATATTCGTGCAACAAAATGGAATTTAATATGTCGGGTATTTATTCCTAAACCTGTAATAGTTACTGGTGAACCCATTCTTCCATTAACATCAAGTGACATTTATTTTCTATTATTTATACTTTATATCAAATATTAAGTTGGTTTAGTTATATACAACATTTTATCCAAAAAGTACATGATTTTCATTGATATTTTCACTACTTGAGATCAATTTTGCACTTTGCAAGTTTTTTCGCTACATAATTTGCACTCGGTACTTGTAAAGATAGACGTGGGGCGCGTAAATTTGGCGATGGTCTTACGTGCAGTGATCTATACTTGAGTTTCCTCCCGCGACTATATTTCGCTCGGTGCGTTCGCGCTGTACCGAGGATTAAGGAGTGGATGGTGTTAAGGAAGTGGGCCCTATTTTTCAAAAACCTTATAAATTCACCAGTTCACTAACTTTAGACAAATCTGCCGATTCAAAGATGCAATTCTGCAGAATCGACAGGGCAACAATCGGCGTTTGGTCGCGCACGGCGACGCCTTATGCCAAAGTCCGTCCACCCCACCTGCGACCGACGCTCATTTGACAGTATATAAACACCCGATAATAGCGTCGATTGAGCTTGGAAGATGTTTGACCACCGTTCGGTAAAGACGTGTCCTCGGGACTTCCCGACTGTTAGAACTCTGTCACGAGGTAGGGAACCGATCGGACTTAGGTAACGACAGCCTGCACCATACATCCTTAGGGAGACCGAATAGATCGGTTATCACACAATCGGAAGATAGACTCGGGACAGATCCGCGATTCTCGGACGTAGATTTCTTTCCCAAGTACCCATAAATTTTAATTTCATTCCTAACGGAAAGGATCGTTCCACGTGAATTAGCCTCTATCGCGTTACTCTCAATCTTCAATTCATATTTAATCCAACGTTGGCTTGTATCCATTGTAAATTGTTTTATTGTTAATTATACCTAGTCTATACTTGCTACTTCATTCATTTGAAAACCGTCTATCCAGTCTTTCCTGAAGAAGATTGCAAGGGTATGAATCAGTAAGGGGTGCAAAGCACTTTGAAAGAGCAACGAATCCCCGATAAGAATATTCCAGCCGCTCGGGATATTCTTTCAAAATTCTCTTTGTATCGTTTCTAGCGCCAATACGGGAAGAACATACTCGGGATACAGAATCCTCGGTCAAGATTCTAACGGTCATTCTTCTTTCCAAATCTCTCACTCTGAATTTTCAGGTAGAAATTTAGAACCGTCGCTGCAGGCTCCGAGTACGTAACAATGGAATAAGAACGCTGTGAGTAAAGTAACGATATCGGTTTATTAATCCTCCGGTGGCAGTATGTGACAAGCCGTGTTGCCCAATGCCAAGGCTAGGGCAACACGTCACGCACAAGCTAGCCACTCAAGCGAGACGCCAGGACACGCGTAACCCAACACACGCTATCACTGGTAACGCGAGCAACCGAGACGCGGCGCCAATAAGATCCCAGCACACCCGCAAGCGAAGCGGGTCGCAACAAAGTATATAGCGGCACCCGAGCGTCGGAAAAGATAGAAGTTCCGGAGACGAATTCATACGCGCCGCCATTTGGGAAGAAACCCAGTTCGGCAGATCCGTAGCTTCTCAACGAACCGCAGGAAGAGACTTCGGTTCGAGACAGTCGCGAAGTCGAGTCATGACAAAGACGACACGAAAGCGAGACTGACTTAAATCGGAAGGAGGATAGTCCTTATAGGTAGGAGATCGAGTAACATTTCACGTATTGAAAAGCCGTCCTACTTAGAGAATGACGACCTATATTTATCGTACAATCTTCGTATTCTCCTCTGTAGCTCCACAACGGAGACTTCAACGACAGAGCCGCCCAGGCTGCAGCCCCTTTGAATAAACGCATTGTTTTGTTTTCCAATTACGCATTTATTAGTTCACTCCACCCAGACTCTAGCCGCGCACGTCTAACGCTCCGGGCATCTGCTGTCTCGAGAAGAGAATTGAACGTAGACCGTGGCGTACAGGGCGTCACTTAACCTGTGGCGCCACTGGCCTACCGTTACAAGTACAAGTGGAGTTCCGGGGTGGTTGAACTTCGTCGTGCGCGGTCTGGAAGCGAATGTAAGCATTGCAGCGACCAGATGCATATGATGTTATAAATGCTAAACGGTAAGCGTCATAGGATCTAAGCGTGAATATGTACAATGAGCTGATATCTAATATGAGTAATGTACAGCGAATTCATTCCCTATAATACGTCAACAGCTATGGGTCCCTCCGGTTCAGGTGAATCGGTCAGGCTGGAGGCAAAACGGCCTATGCGCTTGATCCGCATCGTCTCCTTCACGTCAGTAGGTCTCATGTTACTTTCGAGCTATCTGCATTCGAGGACTCGTCCTACGGTTTCACTGGAGCTATGCCTTCACTGAATTCATCCCTTTCAAGAACTCTTTGTTGTTGTCGTCCCGCGGCCTTATAATGCTTGCCTTGCTGCGCCCGTTTGCGGGAGACGCAGGCCGCTGGTCGCCGCGTCGTGGCCGCAGGCCGATCTTGGGTCACGAGCCGCGCTACAGCATCCGCCCGTGTCGTTCATGCGCGGCGTATGGCCCAAATTCTGGCCCAGCTCGGGTCCACGGCTGATCACATACAAACTTGCCATCAGTTGAGTTGCTACACTGGTGATCCTTACAAGATCAATTTTACTGAATCCAAGAAACTTCTTCAACAAAAAACATTTCGATTGCCGAAAGTAATTACTTTTGCCTAGAATATAAATGTTGCACGCATCGCATGGTAGGACCTGTCAGCTAAAACCCTTCCTCACTTTGTTGCTAGCCTCCCTGATAAAATCCTCAAATAAGTATTTATGCATTCCCTATTTCAATGATATCTTTTATCTTCGTTTTTTTATTATTATCGTTTGAAATTACGGATTATCAAGAGATTTCGTCTGGGTTCAACCAAGTACAGGCCCGGCGAGAGTTTATACAGGCGCTAACTTTGCCGCTATGAGCAAGCAATGGAATTATTATACCCGAAGTATCTCATAATACTAGCGTTAAAACAAACATTTAACGCATAATTTTACCAAAAAAAAAATGATTACGATTAAATTTGTATTAATTTTAAGCATCCTTAGTCAATTGCCGCGAAGACATAAACGATATTTACAAGTACTTGTCGTACATCGAGAACATTTCAGTTCCATCGTCATCTTGGCATCTCTGGTTCCTTTTTTACCCGGTGGATGCCGCCAGTTACGCTGTGCCACGGCCGTGAATGCTTCTCCATTCCTCATTTCCCAACCCCTCTTACTTAAATCATAGTCTACAAATCTGAAGTTAAATGGGACCGATAAAACTGTCATCGCCAAGTGCCACATGTGGTTATCAAAAATATCAGAAGGAAAACGCGAAGAAGTCACAATATAACTATTTTCGTGTGCTCGTGTTTGCAGAGAATAGTGAAGACAGAAGAAGCTTTGTGTAAATCGTCATACAAGATATCAAATAAGTCTAATGTTTATAAGAATACAGATAAACATTTATGATTGATAAGATTGATACTTTGTTATTCATTTATGTGTTACAGATTAAAATTAAATCTTGATTAAAAGGGAAATTTGACAGTGAACATTCATACCGAAATAAATGGAGATTAAAACGGAAAAAATGGGACAATGCACATAGCCTATACATGAAATACATTTAAATCCATTGTACATGGGTTATATGACGTTATCTACATTCATGTATGCAAAACGTGCGATGAAGCCAAATATGTGCTGTAGTCAACGCAATCAAAAACAGCATCGAAGTACCAGTGCTTGCAGTAGGAAAGGAGGTTTTATAACTATCAATTTACTTAATTTAAGAGGATGTACGAAATGGTATACGAAGGTAAAATTGCCGAAGAGTTAAACGAGACCTGAACGGGACCTGAGTTTAACACGGGCAGATGGAGATGAAGATGAGGACGGCAGTCGTATCCAGAGACTCGACGGATGTGTGTGGGACCGATGCTAAGCTTTCAACCTGAAGGATGGCCGTGACCAGCAGGACTCCCCGGATATGAGAGAAGCTGCAGTGTGCAGACCGGTTGGTGCCATGCAGAAATCCGAGTGTTCTCAGACCCTGTGGACATTCAACTGCGTAAGGTTGGGAGCTGTTGGGATTCGACTCAACAACAGTGGCGTGATCGGGCGAATTGCACGGCTTTCCGAAATGATCATGTGACTACTTCTCCGGGAGGAATGCAGCGGACGCACGAGACGGGTGGTGTCCAGATTGAATGTTGTGTCGCTGGCGCCACTCTCGGCCGCCTCAGACCGCGGCCCAGAAGAAAGCCGTCCACGGCCCCGTACCGGGCCTGAACTTTGCACCCTCAACTATCCCATTAAATTCCAGCTTCCACCCTTTCCCTCCCACGTGCGCCGAGCGACCGCGGGATTAATTCCGATCGATAAAGCACCGAAGCCGTGACGGTATCAGGGCGCCAGTCGCCTCAACAGCACCTCGGAGAAATTTTACGGAGCGGAGAAACATGAGAGGAGAAACCCTCACGTAGCCTTGCCAATTCTTTATAGCAAGAGGGTCCCCTTAAGGGACGAAGTTAGAGTAACATAATCGTAGGATTTTGTAAACATAAAGTCGGGTCTTTCGGGGCCCAAAAGTCAGTCTTCACCGGACCCGAGCCAGTGATGCCGGAGGCTATGTTGGAGTTTGTGTCCTCTTAAATACAGTTCTCTTACCGTACATTTGGTGTCTCTCATACCCCCCCCCCCCATTCCTTCCTCCCCTAAATTCCTCGAGCCGTCGGTTCCCCGGTACGTCGATTCCTTTCTCTTCTCCCAGTACCACCGGTGTATCCCGCTGGATCGAGCCGGACCTCCACCCTCCTCTCTCCCCTTCCGGGAATCTTCGTCAAACTTTTCGAAAATTCAACGGAGCGACTCGCGGACCGTGAGAGGCGTGACGACAAGGTGCAGTTCCCCTTCTACGCGGCAGCGAGACAATCCGCGGCCGGGTCTCACGCTCTGGCGCTTGCTCCCTGGGCGTGACGTCGTTGCGATGTTTCCCGAGTGTCTAGCCGCTTGAGTCGAACCCCGACGGCGACGTTGGACTCTTGCACCTGCCCCTTGGCGTTAAGTCATTGTGACGTTCCTTGAGTGTCTAGCCGCTCGAGACGAATCGCATCCTCCCTCTCAGGCTCGAAGACGGTTTTGCATTCGCGCACCTGCTCCTCAGCGGGACGTCATCGCGACGTTTCCCGCGTGTTTGGTTGCGCGGGCAATTCCGTGCCTGATGAAGGAAAACAGGAACCATGTATACCGGAGACGGTCTCGTAACCCCCGTCTGCGCCGCCGGCGTGACGTCCTCGCGACGTTCTCCGGGTGACTAGAGGTGCGGGACGACCCAGCTTCTTGGTGCAACGTTCTTCCACACTTACACTCCAAGGGCGTGGCGGCATGGCGCCGTTCCCCCCTTGTTAAAGGGGCACGGAAACACATTGCACAAAGTGTGACCGTGGAGCCCGCCCACACAAAATCTGGCTTAGTTCAAAGACACAAAACAAACTTATAGTTAAAAACCTTATGGGACGCAACAGACAGACACACAGAGACCTTTGATAACTTCGAGTCCACGACCGAACCATCCTCAGATGAGACGTACATTCAATCCCTGTATTCCCTTTCATACGGCTTTCGCTGATGAAACCTGCTGAGAGGCTGAGGCTCTGCGCCATGGAAAGCCCTAACTGATCTGAGATTGCCGAAAGGAGATCCAGGGTAAGCCAAAAAGGCAAGTAAGACTTCCAGGCACTTCCTCGCGACCGCGCGAGTGCGCAACATGGCATGACCGACGGGGGGGGGGGGGGGGGTACGCAAGAAAAGTTACAATATTGTTATACGATTCCCCACATAAAAGTTCACACGCTGATGCTTTCACGCTGCCGCAGGACCTAGGTGTCATTTCTCGGTAAAAACACCGGACCGGACCCTCAACCTCCTTTCGTTTCTTGAGATGTGATCACTTAAGGTCTTCTAAACCAAACGAAGGAATCGCAAAAGACAAAATGCGCCATTCGTTAAGCAACCGTCGAGTCGAATGAGTCTCTTGCATTCAAAACTTCTTTTGAAACACTGTAATCTGTTAGATCCCAACAAAGAACCTGAATGTATTAGTTACTTTTATAATAAACTATATTTTGTTGTGAGTGTGCGAGAAAATTCACAACAATATATATTGTAACGGGGCGATTAGGGAGCGCCTGCGCGAGACCGAAATCGATGGCAATCGACGCGTGCGCAATACCCGCTGAATTAGGCGGTGCGAAGAGGCCGAGAAGTAGGAAGGAGCTGAGGAGTAGGGAGAGGCCGCGAGACTCCAGGAGACCTCGAGTCAAATTCTAAAAGATAGATTAGATTTAGATATCGATGGGGATAGTCACCCAATCTCACTAGAAGTAGAATAAATTCAGGTCCCAATTGGACATAGGTTTAGAAAGTTAGAGTAGGCAGGAGAGAAACCGGAGTCAACCGGAATTAAGAAACGTTTATGAAATAAAAATTACAGAGGAAGCATTCTAAAATTATATCCCAACCCCAGCGATCTCTGCCATTGAGGTAGCCGTCGCATCCCTAAGTCTAAGTCCTTTTGAACCCGATCCTGGAACTATGCTATGGCAGCATCTTCCAAAAACACGAACATTAGAGCGTGAAAAGAAAAAGAAAAGAGAAAGAAAAGGAGCCATACCTTCGATTGACAGAAGCCAATCGAAGCAGGTTAAAACAAAAAAAATACAAAGGAAGTGTAGATCCGTACCTTCGGCCTTGTCAATGTGACAGCTCTGAAGCAGGAACTGACACTATTTTCAATTGTGAAAGACAGCTCGGACTCTATCATTGAGATTGCCTTCGAACTGCCGAACTTTCACAGTTAATTAGAAGAATCGGAGCACGAAGAAGTGCAAAAAGAACCTACCACAAAATATCCTATCAAACCTCAAAACCTTAAAACCAGTGGATATCCGAAGCTGGATAATCTAGGTTAAAGTTGATACTAACACCTGTAGAGCAGTATTCCAGGGATCCAATCAATTAATTCACGTCAAATCCGAAAATTGTCTGAAATCAGAAATTAACCAAAATAATAGGATTCCGAAATACGAAGGAAACCAACCCAGTTGCACCCACACCTTGAATCCTTTTTGTCCGGATTCGATGATGAACAGTTGGCGTACTCTCATGAGATAAATCGTCAATCTGAGAGTTCAATTCCTATCCAAATTAAATCCATCACAACAAGGTGAAAACAACTAAAGAATCATTAATCAAAGTTGTTTAAGAATCTCGGAGCGTTCGAGATATCGAAACACGAGCTCGATTCGGAATTCCAGCCTCGATCAGCTGAGCGAGCGACGCATAGACGTATAAGAAACCGAAACATTGTCTGCGCGGCACGAGACATCGCAATCCTTCTCTAATTCGCACGCGTGCCTCTCTCTTATTCGGGTCTACGCACCTCCGAAATCGGTGATTTAATTTTCCCGGAAAATTCTGACGCGGCCCGGACTCATGACAGTGTGGAAAAGACAGTGCATACTGCATGGCCTAATCCGTACTATTACAATATATACACCAGGTGCATAAGCTTAAATCCGCTGTTTGCTCATAGATTGCGTTAGTGAGCATATTAACTTACTATGGACACGCCCTACTTCTGTTTTGTATGAGTTTGATACCTATCAATAATAATCAGTGCACATAATCAACAATTTCATACATCATACAATTCTCTTTTGGTAATCATGTCTAGTTTTTTGCCAGTAAAAAAGTATATGCGAGATGCTTTGCTTTTCTGCTTCAATTTGAAGAAATCGGCTGCTGAATCGCATCGAATGCTTGTGAAGGCCTATGGCGACAGTACTTTATCGGAAACAACGTGCAGAGATTGGTTTCGTCGGTTCAAAGACGGCAGTTTTTACCTGAGCGGCAAAAAGCGTGAAAATCGGCACAGGAAGGTCGAGGATCATCAATTGCAGACTTTTTTGGACGAGGACAATATCCAATCGCAACAAATGTTTGCCGAGAAATTGGATGTTACTCAACTAGCTATTTCCATACGCCTACGTGCCATTGGAAAAGGTTCAAAGATCGGAAAATGGATGCCACATGAATTGACTGATAGGCAGATGGAGCGACGCCAAAACACATGAGACAAAAAAGCAGCTTACCAAACAAAAAAGAAAGTCGTTCCTGCATCGACCATTTTACCGCGGCAAAAACGACCCACTGAGAACCGTTGGTCCGGGCGGCGGTGGATGAGGGGGCGGGGATGATGAGGGCCGTAGGCCAAAATATGTTACTTTTATTTCAAATACGCCTTTTGTCTTTCTTTATTCCGTTTTGCTTCGTTAAAGGGACGCGAACTCGAGAAAGCGTGTTAGGGATCTAGACTGAGAACCCCTTCTTTCCCTTGCGTTGTTTTATTTAACACGTTGAATGCCACGCCAGTTTGACATGGATTGCCCGTGGCGCCATGATGAATTTTCTATTATACGATTCACATAATATTGAAATATCATCTGCAACGGATAAGATACAGTCGATAACAATGTTTGAAGTAGTAATTGCGCCGGGGGTCACCGGTGACCCCCGTGGCGCTGGAGTGCGATTTCGCGTTACTTCTAAAAATAAGTGATCAAAAATGCAATCGGAAATTATCACGACTCACTGATTTTTAGAAGTCGCGCGAAATCGCACACCAGCGCACTCATTGTTTTTTTTTTTTTCGTGTTGTGGAGTAATAGTTCTACGATTTTAGTCTTTTCGAGAGTGGTAAACAATCAGATAAGAACCTCTATTATACTTTTATACGCCACAAAAATTGGTGCATTTCCTTTCTTCTATTTAATTTTTTAGTAAGCCCTCAAAGTTATGATTTCAATTCAAGATTCTGCGTCAAGCAATTCAATTGAGGATACATTTTCATCACGTACTTCCAAACAATACCGAGTGTTGTTAGATAGTGAGGAAAGTTCCTCGAGCAGTTTGTCTGATATGATAATACCATCTTCAATACGTCGTCCCCGAATTGAATCAGATACTGAAGTTGAACATGAAAGTTATGATGAAAATAATACGAAGATGGGGGG